TTCCAAGGCAGTATACACACACCACTGCTCCCAGGACTGGCACCCTCCAGGAAGGCATCTGGTATTTGGACACTTGACGTCCTTTCTCCAACATCTCTAAGTTTACAGTGGCAGAGTAGTGTATCTCAACCTCAGCAAGTTGGGCCAGAAAGTTTTGTTTTGTTGAGCCTGGTCTCAAGAAATCTAGGCTGATGTCCAACTCCCTAGCTGCTGAAGATGCCCTTAGCTTTTTAACCCTTGACTTACCTCCCGGGCATATATGCAGAGCTGGGGACTGAACCCCAGAGCTTCCTACATGCTGGGCAAACACTGTACCACCACCAAGCTACATCCCCTTGTTTTTATTAGAAATGGGATTTCAGTCTGTAGTCCACACTGCTCTGGGATTCACTACGTAGCCAGAGACGGCCTCATTCACACAGCAATCATCCTGCTTTAGTCTCCTAAGTGTTGGGATTCTGAGTGAGCCTCCACATCTGGTCAGAGGTCAGAAAATCTATTTTGTTGACGGCTCCATAGGACATTAAACAGCATCCTTGGTCATCACTATCATTTCACTCTCCATGTATCCACACACACTCACGACAACAAAAATGTTCCCAGACATTGCCAAATGTCTCCTGAGGCAAAATCCTACCCCTACCCTCACTTGAGAACTGTCTCAAGCATTTGGCGCATGCTTGGAGCCAAGCCCTGCCTTCCAAGTTTGTGCGTTAGCACTAGATGAGGATCACAGAGGTGGTTTCTGGCAGGACTGGGGAGTCAGCGCACAAGCCCACGGGTCCTTCAGGACTGAAGCGCCAGGCAGGCAGCTCCTGACCCATGGTGAACTAACTCACCAGCCCTGCACTGCTGCAGGTCTGTACTGGAAAATGACCAGGGTCTGACTGACCAGGGCCAGCCTCGAGGCTCCAGAGCTGCAGGCCTGCCAGTCTGGAACTCTGGGCTCCTTCCCCTTGTCTCCCTCTGCCAGGGCAGGAATTGGGAAGGGCAGCATAGGAATGCTTTACTGGGACCGTGAACAGCAATACCACTTCAGAGCAAGAGGTAGAAACGCAGTGCATTTTTATGTAGCACAAAGGAGCATGCAGGCCAGGATCCCTTTGAATTCCCTGAAGTGGGTCAGACTGGTGCTGCACATTGCACTTGGGGGTACTGACTGCGGCCCCCTGACACCAGAGGGAGATTCAGGACAGACTGTTGTCTGGGGTTGTGATTTTCCTGGTCGTCACTGTTAGCTTAGAGGAAAGTTTTCTCGTACAAAATGACTCCCCGGAGCTCTGTCAAGAACCAAAACACAAAACAAAAACTAACCAAAATCCACCACCCCCTCAGGAGGCACAGAGACAGGATGAGGCTCTGGTGCCTTTGTGTTTGCCTGTGCAGGCCACACAGGAGGGCCAGGCTGCCGTGATGCCAGCCAGAGCCCTGCCGATGCTGCCTCCCCTGGGCACTGAAGCTGAGGCACCTGGAAGGGTTATTAGCAGGATTGGAACTCATCCCTCTGCTGGGACTAGATCATAATTACAGTAATTTTCTAACAGAGCTCGGCAGTAGGACTGTTTAATCAGCATCCTACTCCCCTGTGCTCTCAGCCCTCATCACTCAAGGAGAGGAGTGGGATGGCTCTTAAAGAGACAGTGCCCGCCTTTCAGCATTCCGAACAGATGTGCCCTAATTGGCAGAATCTATCTAAGTCTTGTAGCTTACAGCAGGCAGGTTGCACTGTCTCCAGCAGGCTGCCTGGGGCCCTCACTCTTCTAAGCTGCAGGGCCCCAGGTCAGGCTGCTGGTGGGCCAGGATCCCTGACCAACACAGTCGCTAAGGGAAGAGACATACAAGCTTAGTTCTCTGCGGAAGGGACTGACAAGCTGGCCCCTCTGCATTAGTGGAATGGGAGAGAAGGACTGAAGACTTAAAATTATGGCTGGTGGGTTCCCGTGAACCGAAGGTCAGAGCCGCTCTCAGGAACATCCTCACCAACTTCCCAGTGACCTCACTCCACATCCCTAGCGCCTCTGTACTCACACTGTGAAGTGCTGGCCACCTAGTGTCTCTATCCTGCACACTGTGAAGTGCTGGGGTTTCTCTGCTTTGCTTGAGGAGTAGACCCATCTGCCCTGAACCGGAGGGAAGCACTCAGCTTCTGAGGAGTGTGGTGGCTCTTGCTAGCCTTTCCAGCAGAGGTTGTCTGTGTTGATGGCACCTGAGACTTGAGGTCACCAGCTTTCCCTTCCACATCTAGTCACAGCCAAGGCGGAACTGTTTCTCTCTCCAGAAGGATTTCTCTTCCGATGTGAGGACCGGCTCTGCTGGAAGGGACAGCATTTCCAAAACAGTTCCTTAGAGAGGAGCTGGGGGGGGGGGGAGTTCTTTCAAGGTGGGCTGAGAACTTTCAGGAAGAGAGTACAGTGGTAGAGACTAGGAAGCAGGACACGCAGCCGAGTCCAAAGGGTTCCGTGAGCCAGGCTCCATGGCTTCCACAGAAATGACCCCTGCTGGTAACGCTGCCCTCGGGCTAGGATTGTTGCCCACTGCCCACACTTGAAGAAGAAGTGCTCGAGCCTGAAGAAGTGCTCCACAAAGGCCACGCACCCCAATCCAACATTCCTGCAGCCTTGGTGAAGTCAGGCCAGGGGCTGCTCCGATCCTATCTCTACACTTGGAAGTCCCCTTGAATCCTGTGACCTGTTTGTAGCTCCCTCAACTTGTTAAGAATACCATGTAAGAGTTGTGGTATGCAAATTCACCAATATGGAACTAATTTAATCTCCAATCTGGTATTGGATGGCTCTCGGAGCAAAGCTACCAGATGGTAGGAGCCATCTAGGACTCAGAGGTGGGAACCTAAGACCCAGGAGCCAGAAAACTAAGAACGGTGTGAGGTTTATTTGCTGTTGTTGAGAGTTTCATACTATAGCCCAGGATGGCCTGAACACCCTCTGTAGCCCAGGCTAGCCTTAAACTCACAGCAATCCCTCTTGCCTTGGCCTCTCAAGTGCTGGAATTGTGTGTCACCACGCCCTAGCCCTAGTACTACAGAGCTTGGAAAGTACCTCCTACAGAGATCAGGCCCACTGGGTATAGAAATCACACACACACACACACACACACACACACACACACACACACACACACACATCCCTCCAAGTCCTGTCCAGGCATTTCAAAACTATCTTTTACAAGTCACACCCAGCTAGAAATGGAATATGAGGCTTGCCTACCCTGCTGATTCTGATCAAATCAAATAATCATAGGAAACTATTTTTGCCCCTGAATTTCCCCACCTTCATTTTTGCTACCAAATAACCTCAGTCACTCCCCACAGGTCCCTACCAAATAACCTCAGTCACTCCTCACAGGTCCCTACCAAATAACCTCAGTCACTCCCCACAGGTCCCTACCAAATAACCTCAGTCACTCCCCACAGGTCCCTACCAAATAACCTCAGTCACTCCTCACAGGTCCCTACCAAATAACCTCAGTCACTCCCCACAGGTCCCTACCAGATAACCTCAGTCACTCCCCACAGGTCCCTACCAGATAACCTCAGTCACTCCACACAGGTCCCTACCAAATAACCTCAGTCACTCCACACAGGTCCCTACCAGATAACCTCAGTCACTCCTCACAGGTCCCTACCAGATAACCTCAGGCACTCCTCACAGGTCCCTACCAGATAACCTCAGGCACTCCCCACAGGTCCCTACCAGATAACCTCAGGCACTCCCCACAGGTCCCAGAACTCCGACTCAGATTAAGGGGATGACTAGACTTGGGTCACAAAAGCTGTGACTAAAGCAGGCACCAAACTTGCCTCAAACCTCAGATCAAAACAAAGAACGCTTTGGACTCTACATCACTCCGTGGGCCACTCCCCACAGCTAGTGACTCATCTCTCACAGAGAAGGCCACCCAGCTGTGGTGACTAGACTGCAGCACATACTGGACAGAGAAAAATGCGCGAGAGGCCTCTGGCATTGCCTAGATAAAAAGCAATTTTCTTTGGGGTTTGCTGTTTTTCTGGTACGTGGGCCCATGCTATTAGGAAAGCTCGCTCCTTCTTCGGACATCTTCTCCAGCCGATACCCAACTCAGCACAGCCTGAGATGAGAAGGCGCCTGGCCTCACATTAACTGAGGTGCTGTTGTACGCACTGCTGCTAATGGGTCATTAAAAAAGCTGGGAGTCTGAGAAATCGCAGCCATGTCTGAAGAGCGCCTGCTGTCCCAGCAGCCCAGCCTGCTGGCAGAGCTGACTGCCTCGTACCGACTCCAGGAGGAGAGAGGAGAACAGAAGAAGGCCAATCCAGCTTGCTGTTTTTTGGCTGAGTAGGGAATTGACACAGACCACCTCCAGCTCCTGTCTGGAAGTTTTGAGATCAGAGAGCTTCAGGCACAGCTGGGTTCACAGCTGCACCATTTGGAGCATTGGACTCATTAATATTCATGAGCCATCCCCACCAATCGGCAGAGTGGATGCCATTAGCCTAGCATCTGTCGGGTTTTGTGAGGGTTGTGCATGGAGTTTTTTCCCCTTTTAAATGAACTTCTTTTGACATTTTGGATCTGCCTCTGTAGGTTTTCCATCCTCGCTTCGCTCTGATGCATCATATAAAGGAGAGACCCAGGGGAGGCGGCCAGGAAGGGGGGATGAACGCCAGCCAGGGCTTTGCATCTGCCTGTTGACAAACTTTATTTCTCTTTTAGCACCTGGCACCTCAGACAGGCTTCGAAGATGGAAGCGCATCAGGTAAATTATACCTAACAAGGTTCATGCCCAGAACTGTGAGAAGAGCTGGATCCTGGCTCTTTGGAAAACAGTCCCTCCTGCAGCGGTGAACTTGAGTCTCGCACACAATGCAGGAGAGCTCCAGCACACAGTTCTGTGGCGAGTGTTATTTCCACGCTGATAAATTCTTGATTTATGAAAGTAACTCCTGCCAGCTCTCTCCCTCCTTCCCTGCTACAGCTTGTTAGACACAAATTGCAACAACAGTCTTAAATACTTGCATTTTATTTCAGGCCAAAGCCCCTCAACTCTGAACTAAATGCCATGGCAATCCCACAACACAGGCCAGTAGTGAAAGAGCCCACAGATGGGCAGATGGCCAGAGGGGAGAAAGCCCACAGAAACCTAAGAGTAGAGTGGCAAGGGGAGCCCAGCAGAGAGCCCACCCTAGCACTCCAGTGCCCAGCCCCTGCTCTCTGCAAACAGGATCTCGGCAGCAGGAGGGCAGAAGCCTCAATGTCCGAAGGAAAGCACGTGGTTCCCCATCTCCATCCCTAGAGCCCTCCCTTCCAGGCGGAAACAAAGCCTGTGTGCCCCTCTGGACCGAGCATGAGGCTTCCCTGCAATGCAGCAGTGGGCACTGAGGCAGCTAAAGCCCTGCGCCACCGGGCTGCGATTCAGAGAGAAGAAAGGAGCCCGCTTTACCCCTGCAGAAATACCAGCTCTGCTTTATGAGCAGAAGATGGGCAGCCCAGAGCCACCTCTGCCAAAACAAAGCCTCTGCGCTGTTCCCTTCCCCCTGGCTGCGGCTAGCCACTTTGCCTCGATGGTCTTGAACTGCCTGCCTGCAGCTCTCAGGCCCCACTCAACCTGCCAAGGTCTTGGAAGATACTGGAAATCCCATTGATAAGAGTCACATTACTGCCATTTACTGACAAGCAAGGAGGTGGTGAATAAATATTCACCACCCTGTCCACACAGGGAGGCAGGCAAGAGGCAGGCCTCCCACAACCAAAATGTTCCAGGCAAAAACTGCAGCCTGCCAAGATGAGAATATAACAATAGAAGCATTCTGTTGGTACAGTATTCAATATGGCAGCTAAAAATCTGCCATGAAGAGGTTCCCCAAACTATTCACCCGTGGCAGTGCACCTGAAGAAACTAAGCTCCTGCAGAAGTAAATATAGTTCTACTTAAAACCAACAGCTTCTGGACCCTGTGCTTAACTTACAAACACCGGTGTGGTGTTTATTCCCATGGAGGAGACACAATAAGCAGCCACAACCAACCTCTGCATAGCAAACCTGAGTAGATGTGGATGGAGGGTGCTAAACAGGCCGACTCCCCTGCACCTGCCCTGTGCCCAACCCCACCTGAATGCGACTGTGGCCTGCATCTTTTCCACCACCCAAGAGAACCTAGAGCTCAACCACAGCTCACCTCCCCCACAGTGTCTAGCTGACCAGGGTCCAATGGCACAACATGGTCCCCTCCCACAGCCCTTCTCACAGGCTGGGACACAGAGAGTCCTTCATCGGGTCCTGCAATATCACAGCATGATGGTGAGGAGCTGGGCAGCAGCATAGGACTCTCTAAGGATGGGCCCTCAGAGTCCATCACCGGAGCCCATGTTTCTAAGTGGTCCTTCTCTTCACTGAGGGGTGGAGAAGGAGAGTTCCTCCTGCCTGATCTCGGAAGAAAGCAGCAACTGGGAAGGAGAAGAGGAAAGAAAAAGATGGGCATGAATAGATGATAAAAATGAAGAGATGGGCATAGACATATACATTTCATTCATTTCATTCATCCAGCCATAAAAAGGAATGACATGGGCTGGAGAGATGGCTCAGAGGTTACAACCACTGGCTTTTCTTCCAGAGGTCCAGAGTTCAAATCCCAGCAACCACATGGTGGCTCACAACCATCTGGACTGAGATCTGGTGCCCTCTTCTAGTCTGCAGACATACATGCAGGCAGAATGCTGTGTACATAATAACTAAATCTTTAAAAAAAGAGAATGAAGTGCTGAAAACATGCTGGAGCTGGTACAATGGCTTAGTGGGTAAAAGGCCCCCACTGCCAAGCCTGATGACCTACTTCAATCCCCAGGACATGGCAGAAGTAGAGAACTGACCCCAACAAGTGGCCTTCTGACCTTCACATGCATGCCATGACCACACATATGCACAAACACACACTCAAACAAATGTGAGTTAAAAAAAAATTTTTAAGCATTATGCTGAATAGAAAAAGCCAGGGGTTGGAGAGATGGCTCAGTGGTTAAGAGCACCGACTGCTCTTCCAGAGGTCCTGAGTTCAATTCCCAGCAACCATATGGTGGCTCACAACCATCTGTAATGAGATCTGGTGTCCTCTTCTGGCATGCAGGGACACATGCAGGTAGAATACTGTATACATAATAAATAAATAAATCTTTAAAAAAAAAAAAGAAAGAAAAAGCCAGATACACCTGCCATGTGACTCAGAGTGTTTGAAATGACCAGAACAGGCAGATCCAGACAGAAAGTAGACTATGGTTACCAGGGGGAATGGCCATTGCTCACTGGGGTGGCGTTTCTTCATTTAGAATAGGAACATGTTAAGAGCCGAGGAGGTCGCTTGATAGTAGAACATACACCTAACACAAGTGAAGCCCAGGACTTCATTCCCACCAGAATCACAAAAATTAACTACTTAGTCAATTTTCAAAAAGAGCCCAGTGTAGTGCTGCAGCTGCACACCTTTAATTCCAGCACTCAGGGGGCAGGCAGATCTTAGGCAGATCTCTGTGAGTTTGAGACCAGCTCGGTTTACAGAGCAAGTAGCCTACATAATTGAGTAGGTCTACACGGCTGGGGCTATACAAAGAAACAAAAGAAGAAGAAACAGAGTGCTGTATACACACACACCTGGAATCTCCGAGCTCATGTCTGAAGCAGAAAGATCACGAAAAGCTGAAGACTGGCCTGGTATACAGTGAGTTCCAGGCCAGTACGGACCACACAAGAGACTGCACAAACAAAAGAAAAAGCCAGCCAGGGAAGGCTGCCCTTCTTTCTCCCTGAGTTTCAGCGGGACCTCTAGTTTCCCATTCAAGACAGAGAACCAGGCCTTTCCAAGGCTACCAATGCTGTGACATTCCTTTCCTAACACATGGGCATGCCACACATCCCATGTGTCACTGTCACAGTGATCCCAGCCCCAGGTTCCTTAACAGTCCTCCAATTACCTGTTACGCTGGTCTCCTCTAGCCAGGTGAGAGGTGCTCTGCCTCTTCTCCTCCTGGGCCCAGCCACAGTTGGACATAGCATAGCAGAGAATGGCATCGGACACAGTCAAGGAGCCTCGGCCCTGCACACAGGCTTCAATCTCAGGGACTGAGAGCTGGCTTTGGAGGAAGAGGTGCAACTGACTGTCTGACAGAAGGACCACGCTCTGCAAGACCCTGCAGCAACAGAGAGCACAACACCGACCATGTGAGGAAGCAGCTGTCCCCATCCCCGAGCCTTTGGCTTCACAGAGCACTGGAGATGGGGGTGCACAGGAAAGCAAGCCACCACAAATGCGACCGCAAGAGCAGGGCAGGGGTTTGCATCTGCCTGGCACCGTCCTGTGGCCCTGCCTCCACTGTGGTGGCCAGTGCTAACCCAGCACGTCCACTCACTTTTCTAGGAAATGCTGTAGGCCTTGCCGTCGCTTCTCAATGAACTCATCAGAGCTGCCAAAGAAGGTGGACTTCCCAGGAAGTTCAGGTACTGGCCTGTGGAAACATAATGTAACACTTAAAGTGAAGCATCACTCCAACCCCACCCCAAAATAATCCCCTGAAAAGGGGCCCAATCAATACAATTAGATTTTAGTAAGGGACGTGACAGAGCTAACACTGGTTGATGGTATGCCCTATGGCAGGCACTTCGCATCACATTTCCACAAACATGGCATTTAATCTTCCTAAAAATCCCGTGAGAAAAACATTAGTGTCCTCCTTTTAGAAAACCAGAGAGGTGACATAAAATTCCCACTGTCTGCCAGGTGTGGTGGCACACACCTTTAATCCCAGCATTTGGGAGGCAGGCTGATCTCCAAGGTCAAAGCCAGCCTGTCTACAGAGTGAGTCCCAGGCCTTGTCTTTAAAAACAAAACAATCCCCATTGTCACACAGCACAGGTAGTACGTAGGTCTACGATTCCAAAGCCATGCTATTATACCACTCCATCTAGTATGCACATTCCAACATCGATTGCTTTTTTCTTCAGGTGTATGAGCTTGCTTGATATGTACACCATGTGTGCACAGTATCCACAGAGACCAGAAGAGGGAATCAGATCCCCTGGAACTGTAATTACAGGCAGTTGTAGGCAACCTAGTGTGGATTGCCAAACCCAGGTCCTCTGTAAGAGCAACAAGGGCTTTTATTTATTTATTTATTTGTTTGTTTGTTTATTTATTTATTTATTATATATACACTATTCTGCCTGCACGTATCCCTTCAAGTCAGAAAAAGGCACCAGATCTCAATACAGATGGTAGTGAGCCACCATGTGGTTGCTGGGAATTGAACTCAGGACCTTTGGAAGAGCAGCCAGTGTCTTAACCTCTGAGCCATCTCTCCAGCCCCGCAACAAGGGCTCTTAACTCTAGTCCCTTTGGGGACTTTATGACACATGGCCTCACTATGCTATGGAGCCATGGCTGGCCTGGAACTTGCAGTAATCCTCTGGTCTCTGCTTCCTAGGTGGGAGGACTACAGGTCTGCTCCACTACACCCAGCTCTACTACCTCTGTGCTCTGCATTGGGATGGGGGAGCATGTGCATACACACATGTATGGAAGCCAGACGTTGACAGAGGATGTCTTCCTCAATTACCCTCCACTTCATTTGTTGAACTGAGTCTCTCACTGAACCCAGAGCTAATCCATTTGGCTAGACTGGCTGGGCATCAAGCCCCTAGGATTCCCCTGCCTCTGTCTCGCAGCACTGGGATTACAGGCTTCTCACATGGGTACTAAGGATCCAGCTCAGCTCCTCCTGCTTCGCAACGATCATGTTACCAACAGCCATCTCCCCAGCACCCAGCTTACGTTCCTTCTTTAAGGAAGAGACTTCAAGCAGGAATGTGGGTCCTTTCTCATAAACTAAAACTATCTATTCCACATGTCTATAATCACAACTACTCAGCAAGCTAAAGCAGGAAGATGGAGCATTCGAGGCCAGCCTGGAGCTACACATACAGCCTCTATTTCAGGGAAAAACAACAAACAAACAAATAAAACAGATCACTCTAGCCCCAGAATTTGCTATAAATGAAGTGAGTTATCGCATATTACTGTTAAACGTCCTTAGCTTCTGTTATAAGGCACAGGGAACACATTATAAAGTAACAAGAAGACAGGGCTGAAGACATAACTCAGTGGTAGAGTGATTGCCAACCACGTACAAAGTCCCGAGTTCAATTCCCAGCACACAAGAAAAGGAAAGAAATAGACACAGACACTCTCAGAGAGAGAACAACAGACAGAGGCAGACGGGCAGACAGACACCCCGAAGCAGCCTAGAGGAGAGGGACGAAAGGAGTCAACTGGCATGGCCCATGGCAGTAGCCCCATCAGTCCCACATGGTAACTAACTAGGCAGACCACCCACCAGTGATCATCCTGAAGTAAATGAAGGGAGACAGAGGCAAAAGAATCAACAGTTGCAGGCCAACCTATACTACAGAAGCCCATGTCTCAAAAAAAACAAAACAGAAAATGTATCTAGGTGTGGTGATCTATGCCTGTAATCCCAGCGCTCCAGATGTTGCCACATGAAGAGTGCAAGTTCAAGGCCAACTTGGACTACACAGTGAGACCCTGCCTGAGAAAAGGAAGGAACCTGGAGTTTACAGAGAAGATAACTTACAACATGCCAGGCACTAAAGAAGCTGGGAGCTGTATTAAACCATGTTTAAGCCAGTGAAATATATATGTGCACATAGACACTTTTTTCCCTGTTTATACAATTTTGCTAGGTCAAAAACTAAAAAGGAGGATGTTGGTTTTCTTCACTGACTTAAACATAGGATTTAAAGCACTTCTTTAGAACACGCCTGGCATGTTGGAAGTTCTTTTCTCTGTAAACTCTAGCTCCATGTGACCCCAGAGTCTACTCAGACCTGAGAAGGCAGCAAGAGCAAACTCACACCAAGCCCGCATTCCTCTGCAGCTGCTTCCTCAGCCACACAAATTCACGGTAGCGGCGCCGCACACACGAGGTCTTGGCAGTAAAGGCCTTGCTGTTCGTCTACAAGAGGAGGTTGGTAAAAAGGGTTAAATGGAAAGGACTAAGCCCATATGACTTTGCCATCATCACTCTCATTAAGGGGCCAAATGATCAGGCCATGGTCCCCAGACCAAGATGCCACTGGACAGGCTGAAAGCAATTCACAATTACACCTCGTGTTTTCTTCACCATGCTCCTTTTCTCTCAATCTTCTGTCTCGGGATGTTGGGAACACCCGCAAATCATTTCCACTTCAGCACAGCCCATAGCCCTGTAGCAGCCCCATTACAGAACATGACTCACATGAAGGAATATCTTATAGTCCACGTAAGAATTCCAGGAACCCTCATTCTGCACCCGGGGGTCCTGAACACGCACCGTGATCACCTCCTGCAAGTGTAAAAAAAAAAAAAAAAAAAAAAAAAATGCTCCTTCAGCTTCAGCTCGCGTCACACAGAAAGAAAGTGGTTTGGTTCAGGCTTTGGAGCCCTGGCTGCCCTGGAACTCACTATGGAGACTTATTGCTTGAACATGTGGCATTTTTCACAGATCTACCTCCTAAGTGTTGAGATCATAAGACACCACACCTAGCTAGCAAGGCAGCTCTGACCGCACAGTAGTTACCAAAGTTTCTAACTCAATACCAACTTCCAATCATTGTTCTAGTCAATTCAACAAGTGTTTACTGACATGGTGTGTGCCAGGCACTGTACTAAGATAGAGCATAAATGAGAAACAAAGCTCCCTGTTCTCCAGGAGACCACAGGCCATCCCAACTAGTACAGGCCTATGAGCCTAACGACTTGGGAGGCTGAGGCAGGAGAGTCAAGAGTTCCAGGCCTTATCTGAGGAACTTAGTGAGACTCCAAATAAAAAAATAAAGACATCAAAAGAAAAGAAAAAGGCTGGGCAGTGGTGGTACATGCCTTTAATCCCAGCACTTGGGGGCAGAGGCAGGCAGATCTCTGTGAGCTCAAGGCCAGTCTGGCCTACAGAGGGAGCTCCAGGACAGGTAGGGTTACACAGAGAAATCCTGTCTCCAAAAACAAAAATAAGTAAATAAAGAACTTCGGACAGTGGCTCCCTCCTGTAATCCCAACACTCAGGAAGAAACAGGAAGACTGTCATCAAGTTGAAGATGAGCTAGTTGAAGTTCTAGGCCAAATAGGACTATCCAGTGAGACCCTGTCTCACTACATAAAGATAAAAAGAGAGGCCGGGCGGTGGTGGCGCACGCCTTTAATCCCAGCACTCGGGAGGCAGAGCCAGGCGGATCTCTGTGAGTTCGAGGCCAGCCTGGGCTACCAAGTGAGTTCCAGGAAAGGCGCAAAGCTACACAAAGAAACCCTGTCTCGAAAAATCAAAAAAAAAAAAAAAAGATAAAAAGAGAACTAGGGATATACGGCTCAACAGTAGAGCTGAGCACTCACAAGCCCCTGAGTTTAATCTGCACAGGGAACGAGTAGACAAATAAGAACAAAGTATAATGATAAATATATATGAAAATGTCCTAATGAGCTCTATTTCTTAGATAAATAAAAATGTAATTTTTTTTGTTGTTGTTGTTTTTGTTTTTCGAGACAAGGTTTCCCTGCATAGCTTTGCGCCTTTCCTGGAACTCACTTTGTAGACCAGGCTGGCCTGGAACTCACAGAGATCCTCCTGGTTCTGCCTCCCAAGTGCTGGGATTAAAGGCCTGTGCCACCACCGCCTGGCCTAAAATGTAATTTTTAAAAAGCTTACATTCTAGTACATTCCAACCAATGGGAAAGTTAGTCGAAATGGAAGCTCACTTCTCAGCATGTACAATTGCTACTGATTTCCTTCTCTTGGCTTTATTTTGAGCCCATCAGACACACCAAGAGTATATTAGGGGAAAACACAGCACAGATGGTGATCTGCATCTGTGTCCCCTCCTCCTAAAGGCCCCCCAACTCTGACCACCTGGAGCCCACTCTTACCTCCAGCTCTTGGTTCTCCAACATCCTACACCAAAAGCCCATGGGAAGAAAACATCTGGGGAGGAACAGAGGACACAGGAACAAGCACAGTTAGCAGGTATGTCCTTACCAGGCTTTGTCAGGGCAAAACCACAAAAGTTCTTAATAGACAGCCCTTGGGGAAACCCAGGTCAACTCCCCTCTCCCTAATTTAATCTTGTGTAAAACTTTAAAGAGGAAGGGAAAAACACCCACATTAGTTAGTAGCAAATTAAAAGCCCTGGGGAATTTGTCTCCATTCTCAGACTACCCCTGGGAACCTCTACAAGGCCACCTCAACCTAGAGCTTCTTGTGTGTGGAGAGTGTGTCGTGGGTGGCCAGAAAGGCAGGTGGGCTCCCCTGTAAAACTTCTGCCTGAGGACCGTGGCTTAGCAGCCTTGTGGAGCACGGCTTTGAAAAGGAGCCTAACAGCACCCCCTCCTGGTTATTTAGAGAGAACCCAGTCCCTACACATAGCAATGCTCCAGCAATCTAACCAAAGTTACCTCTAGACAGGTGAATCATTGAGCTGGAGTGCTCCTGGGAGCACCCAACTGAATGGTCCAGTTACAGTTACCACCTTCCCTTATCAGCTCTTTAGAACTGGAGCCAACCATTGTAATCATTTCCAATCTTGACATACCATCCGGTTTGTATCTCTGCCCAAGCACCCCACAGCTTCACAGGTCAACTCAGGATGCATTCCGCTCCTTTGTAAAGATTCATTAAAGCCTAAGCCACTGATTTCCCCCAGTGTGGTAGTTTATGTGTACAGCGACATCGCCCACTCCAACAAGGGGACCATGATGTCACCTTCTGTTAAAATACAGCACTAATCTTCTTACTCCTAGAATCACTCCAACAGCATCCACCCTGGCGCCGCCTCCACCCCCTTCCTCTCTCTTAAGAGCAGAACAATAAGGTTTAATTTCCCTTTCCAATTTACCTTGAAATGAAAACTGACTTCAGCCAATATGTACTGCCAACAAATGATCCGGGCCGGCTCCTGGGAAAACAAGCCTATCTAAGCTCTCCCTCTCCTCCCCCCATGCTCATTCACACACCCACTCATTTTTACAGTCCCACAATTAATTTTAAACACATTCTCTTATTAGTTCTGCCTTACCATTAGAAGAGCGCATAATGAGCTTCCGTCTATTTTATGTTTTGCTAACACAGGGCTAATGTTTCAAAAGAAGGGGAACTCATTTACAGCATGAAATTAGCAGAGCAAACAGCTTTTGCAATTCTTTCCAGTATCCCAGAAGGTCTCACTTCTACAGACAGACACTGCACGCGGGGACAAAGCGACATGGCAGATGACAAAATTGAGCTACACTGTGGCGCAAACCCAAGGTTCTGTGATTTCAACACCATCATAAACAGCATCCTTGCTGACAATCTGAATTTTCATCTGCGGCAGTCACCACCTCCAACAGGCCCTGAACTGAAATGCAGGAAGTTCAAATTCCCCAACAACCCAGCTCAACAACAGTCCAGACCGAAACAAAGGTCTGTGACCAAAACCCAGCAGACAGACTTGCTGTGAATAATTAACCACCTGGGGTTTCCCACCTCTTTCTCTTTTTAGGCTTTTGCCGATCTGCCAGCATACAAACAGAGAGTTAACTATTCTGAAGTGTCTTTTTGTAGTACAATAGGAAAGATGACAAGAAAAAGAGTTATCTCCACTAAAGGGAGTTCACACCACTCTTCCTGAAAAGGTTTGCGAAATTCAAGACTAGTTCAGTAACTAGTCATCATACCTTTGGTCTCAAAGAAGAATTTGAAAAGGGGCCCGCAGCACCCCCATGTGGAAGTTTTTCTCCTTTAGTGTGGAGCTACTATCACATAGAAACAACCAAAAACTGGCTTTTAAAAATTCCAAGTCTCCATATGTTTGTATGCTTAAACCTAAGTTTAAAGGGCACTGAGGAGGTTCTGGTTGTAAATTTCCTTAAAACAGTGAAACTACAAAAACCTAGGTTCCATTTCTTTTTTTTTCTTTTTTTTTTTTTTTTTTTGGTTTTTCGAGACAGAGCTTCTCTGTTTAACAGCTCTGGCTGTCCTGGAACTCACTTTGTAATAGACCAGGCTGGCTCCTAACTCACAGAGATCTGCCTCTGCCTCTGGAGTGCTGGCATTAAAGGCGTGTGCCACCATCACCCGGTAAAACCTAGACTCCATTTCTAACCACCACTACTCTCCATCAATTTCCTTCCCAAAGACACCACTCTTTGGAAGAAAACGAAGTTCATCCATTCCTGGAGAAGCAGCAAGTTCTTAACTTCAACTTCAGCTCTACAACCTAGAGATGGATCTGTGTGCATCCACCAAGGAAGGATAAAGTCAAGTACTCTCCAAGGGTTAGGTGGCTTACGCAATGCTAACTCCATGTCCAGGCCCTTTCCATCACATCTGAGGTGCTGTTTGCTTCCCTCAGCAGTACCAGCACCAACAGTCCTGGGGAGGAACCAGATCTTTTGAAGGATATAAAGTTGAGGCATTGTAAAGCTCACAACTGCTAATGCAAGGCCTTCCCCTCATTTTTTCTGCCACTTAAACTACTTCAAGAGGCACGTTCAAAACAAACCAGGCTGCAGAAAGTTTGCGCCCAGGAGCCTCTCGCCTTTTCTGACTCACTCTTGAGCCTTTGGTGTCAACAGACAGCAGCTCAAAAACCTCGCCTTCCTGAATACCCACGGGTGGTAGAGGCAGTTCTCCGGCCTGACCCTCCATCCCGTCCATCAAGCAGCTGTTCGACCTGTCAGTCGACAGCCCACTCATTCCACCTGGAAATAACTTACAGGGCGACCATAATTCCCAGTGTCTGCGAAAAATACCTGCCATTTTCTCCCACTCCCGGCCACTTGGAGAGCTATCCCCCAAACTCTGACTCTGGACACTCCCTTCCATTCTTATCAAACCAGATGGAAAACAGCCACATGCTCCTTCTCTCCTTTCCCGGTTAAACCGGGGACGAAAAGACACCTTCTATTCTCGAGGTAAACTGAACAGCCAGGCTTCCTTTCTGGTTGGGTCCCCAGCAAGCCCTCCTCACTTTTCACACCGGGCGGGAAGACAACCCCGCTTCCCTGACAGGTCAAGCGAGGCCATCCCCCAAACGCCACCACTGCTCCTCGAGCCGGCGTCCCGTCCCCCGCCCCAAGCAGCACCTACGAGCCCCGGCCCCGCCCACGGCCCCTCACCTGAGAGCAGCAGCAGCAGCAGCAGCTCTCCACAGCGACACCACCAGCACCGCACCATAGAGCCCGAGTGCCGGCTTCTCCTTCCGGGTGAGTCGCCGGCGCCCCGGTGCACGACGGGAGGCGGCTCCCGGCGGACCAATCCTGAGTGCCCAGGACGCCCCCACCCCTGCAGACCAGGGCTCTCAGTGGCGACCGCGGGTCCGCCGAGGCTCTCCGCCCCGCCCAGACTTGAGCGGCAATCCGGATCTTTCCGGAAATCGCTAGGGGCGCGAGAGGTGGAGCGCGAGAACTGAAAGCCCTCGGCGTCCCCTCCAGCGTTTCGTCCCGCCCACCGCCGTCAGGCGCGCCAATCAGCGCTCGGGGAGCCTCATTGACGGGCTGCGAGAGCATCTCGGGAACCCAGGTGTCTGTAGGGTGTTACGGGGTTGTCAGTACTGTGGGGAGCTTCCACCCTTTGCTGGAGTCTTACTGAGATCTCCAGAGGGTCCCGCTTTGAACCTCGGAGGTTGCAGTTCCCCAGCTGAAATGTCAAGGGCACTGCCAGTTAGATTTGGAAAAGCCGCGCGGGTTATCCCGGCAAAAACCAAACGAGATGGCTCACACCTCACTGTGACTCCCCGAGACAAGCCCAAAACAGGATCACCTAGTTAGTAAGCAAGAAAAAGCTGGTGAAAATGCCAACCCTGGGGCCGGGCGGTGGTGGCGCACGCCTTTAATCCCAGCACTCGGGAGGCAGAGCCAGGCGGATCTCTGTGAGTTCGAGGCCAGCCTGGGCTACCAAGTGAGTCCCAGGAAAGGCGCAAAGCTACAGAGAAACCCTGTCTCGAAAAACCAAAAAAAAAAAAAAAAAAAAAAATTAAAAAAAAAATGCCAACCCTGGTGACATTAAATTTCCTCTTAAGGCAATGAAAGGGCTCCCGCCTGGAATCCTAACACTTGGAAGATTAAAGCTACATGGTGAATTCCAGGCGACCCGGGCTACAGAGCTCAATCTCAAAACACGATTTTAAAAACCCTCTTATAGCCGGGCGACCGTGGCACACGCCTTTAATCCCAGCACTGGAGAGGCAGAGGCAGGCAGATCTCTGTGAGTTCGAGGCCAGCCTGGTCTACAGAGGGAGTTCAGGACAGGCACCAAAACAACACAAAGAAACCCTGCCTCGAAAAATCAAAAAAACTCTTGATGTGTTAAAAAGATAATTTTACACCTGTAATCCCAGCACTTGGAGGTAGAGGCAGGAATTGAAGGCCATTGCCAACTACATAGTAAGTTTCAGCCTATCCCCGGCCACCTAAAACCCTGTCTCAAAAACAACCGAACGGGAGCAGGAGAAATGGCTCAGAGCTTAAGAGTGTTTGTTCCTCTTCCAGAAGATAAATTCAGCACCCACATCAGGCAGCTCACAACTGTAACTCCAATTCCTGTGGATCTGAGGCATACATACATACATACATACACACCAAAAATAAATGTTTGTTTTTTTATTTTGTGTATGAGTGTTTTGCCTGTAATTATGGATGCCCACTTGGAACATGCCTACCTGGAACCCTCAGAGGTCAGCTGAGGGCCTCAGATCTCCTGGCACTGGAGTTACAAATGGTTGGAGCCACTCTGGAAGTCTGGGAACTGAACCCTGGTCCTATGCAAGAGCAGAAAGTGCTCTTAACCTATGAGCCATTTTCTTGAGTCCCAAATCCTTCCCCCTACCTGGGTTCTCTTTCGGGCTCTGTCTTTTGGTATATGAAGAAAATCTAGCCCAGCACAAACATATCCTTTTAGCCCTCTCCAAAAATCGTGAATCCTCCTTTGCTATAACAAAACATCAAATAGTACTCTCCCTCTCCCTTTCCATCTCTGTTTCTCCTTTCATTTTAATATAAAGTCTTGTTACCTAGTCTGGGCTGGCCCAGAGCTATGTAGACCAAGATTACCTCAAATGCAAAATGTACAATCCTCCTCCTCTGTCACCCAAGTGCTGGGATTACAGGTGTACACCATCATGCCCAGTTAACAGGTGGTGGTTTCTTTTTCAAGGTTTATTTTTACTTATGTGTATGTATATGAAGCTACATGTGTTTATATGTACTACCTGTGTGTGCAGGTGCCCACAGAGACCAGAAGAGGGCATCAGATCCCCTGGAGTTGCAGATGGTTGTGACCCACCCAAATGTGTGTTCTGGGAACTGAACCCAGATCCTCTGCAGTAAATGCTGTTAACACTGAGCCATCTGTCCAATCCCATAAAAAAATAAATTTAATCATGTTAATATCACCACTGATGTCATCAGGAAACTTTCAGGAAGTTGTCAGATTCACTTTGGTAGATACCAGATTTCCAAAGGTAAAATTTTTGCCTGAAAGACAATTTCTCATTGGCAGTAATACTATTTTCCTTTACATGGCCAACTCTACATTCAAATATCTGATTAACCAGCTCTTTTCCCTTGTCCTTTTTTTTTTTGGGGGGGGGCGGCGGCTAAGTTTTTACTACATAGCTCAGGTATCCCTGTAATTCATAATTTTTCTGCCTCCCAAATGCTGGCACCTTCCTTGAAAATTTCAATTGTTGATGCTGGGGCCAATCCTTATACAATAAATGTGGGAAATAACAACCACAGCCCCAAACAACTGGAACAGTCCAAATTCCAAAACACTTAAAAACATACTGAGCTGCTAGGGAGAAGGCTCAGCGGTTAAGAGCACGACTGCTCTTCCAGAGGACCCAGGTTCAATTCCCAGCGCCCACATGGCAGTTAACAACTATAACTCCAAGATCTGACACCCTCACACAGACATACATACAGGCAAAACACCAATGCACATAAACTAAAAAGCAATAAATTATTGAGCTCCAGCACAATGCTACAGTGGAAGATTTCACACTTAAAACACAGACATGTTAAAAAAAAATACCTTCAGACTTTGTATATAAAATAGTTTTAAAAGCTGGGCCTTTTGACACATGTATAATCCCAGCACTGGGGAGGCTGAGCTGGAGTTCTAGGGTCAAGCTGAGCTATAAAAGACCCCACATTTTTTTTCAAGATTTATTTATTCTATGTATATGGTGCTCTATCTCCATATGCACCTGTACGCCAGAAGAGGGCATCAGATCCCATCACACCCTGTGGGTGCTGGGAATCGAACTCAGTACCTCTGGAAGAATTACCAATACTCTTATACTGCTGAGCCATCTCTCCAGCTCCAAGACCCCAACAATTAAAAAAAAAGCAAAAGACCAAACTAGTCAAAGTCAGAGGTATGTGGTTTAAATGTATATATTTTAATCAAACTCAACTATCTGGGAATCAATGTGGAAAATCAAACCAGAGGATATGAGAAGAAATGTCTCTTAAACGTATTATAAGAGTGTACATATTAACTCCAGAAAGAATAAATCTTTTTGTTTGTTTGTTTTTAGAGACAGGGTTTCTCTGTGTAGTTTTGGTGCCTATCCTGGATCTCGCTCTGTAGACCAGGCTGACCTCCGAACTCACAGAGTTCCTTCTGGCTCTGCCTCCCGAGTGCTGGGACTAAAGGCATGCGCTGCCACCACCACTGCCCGGCCAGAATGAATAAATTTTTAACAATTGGATTTCAGGTAGCTGCCCTCAGGGCCTGGGGGCTCAAAGTCTAG